TATTGGACATCGAAGGTGTACACATTATGTGCACGCTACTTGCAGTTTCTTGTTTTGTTTGGTAAGTTGTTCTTATGGGCATCTATCTGTCGTCTCTATCGTTTTTAACCGATGGACTCTATTACACACCACGGTGGTTACGAACAGCAGCTGTAAATGTATTAAACGTATGTTTACTCACCAGTAATGGTCATTAATGAACGGTATGATTAGTTAGTCATCTTACTTGCGGAATTCATGCTATTCTAACGGTTCTGGGTGGAATAGAAAGTCCTTCCACTTAGCAATATATTATGTCTAGTAGCAGTAAATCACTGATACCTTGGTATGTTTGTAATATTGGTAGTTACCGATATTGTTGACAATAAGACTGGCCAGTCTTATCAAAAGCCATGACTTTTGATCAATGAGTTATTGATTAATTAGTTGGGTCAGTACTACTTATTGGGTGATTACAGTTAAACCTTCATCAGATTTGAAGTTTGCTTCGCATTGGGAACTTATTTCAACGGCAATTCCAGTCATCTGATAGAGTTGCATACTACGTATGAAAAAAGCAGAAATATTGTTCTTAGTAAATTAGTATAGTATGCTGTTCTGAGTATTTTAAGGCACGTCAAGCTTACTGTCAGAAGACTAAAGACATGTTATTTGGTTCCCTTCGGGTTGTGGGGAATTCCAAAACTCAAGTCATCGTAAAGAGTGGGTGTGGATCAAGTTCAACTTACCATGTTGTATATCTGATTTCTGAGTATTCCCTCCGGGGTTTGCAGTATGATCAAAAAAATGACTGTCCTAGATGATTTTGAGGAATGCTTTGTATGCTTTGGATCGTTATAAGGTCGCTTCTGTGTTGCTCATTTCCAAGTGGTAGATATTCAGTGTTTTGACAGAAGACTGCGAACTAATTTTGTGCGTCTCGATGCTCTTCAAAGTATTATTCTTTTGACGTGGAGAAGGGTTGTTTCCTTGTGACCTCACTTAGAGTTTATACTCTATGTAAGGCCGATTGGAACGTTAAAATTAGTTGAAAACCTGTATCATTAAACTATCCAAAGTGTGTCACTAATGCCAGGTTGAATCTAAAGAGATATTTTCCACAGCATATGATTTAGTTTGGTAGGGAACTAAAACACCTAGATCTATTTTGACTAGCGTTTTTTTTCAGCGGAGAATAATAATACAGTTGTATTTGAAGTTGGCATCGTGCTGCGGATAGACTATTTTACTCTGACTAGTTGGGAGTTTGCCTACTGTTGACCATCCGAATTTGAACTCAGATTGCCTGAGGCACTAATCTTTCCATCTGGTTGTGTACTTCTGAAAGCTTCACATAAGAAAGTAATTTTAAATATGTACTGAGGATGGTTTTTATAAACCATAAGGAGCAAATTTGTTATTTGAACACAAATATTGGTACAAAGGATCACCGAATACATATGCATCACAAAAGTCACTTGATTTGTGTGTGGGTTATGACACTGTCCGAGTGCCTAGACCGAAGCACGTGGTTTTCTTAGGGGGCTACACCCGGAGACTTCGACCTAAAGGTATAGTACACAAGGCATTGGAGCAAAGTCAGGACATGCAGTCTCATGGTGGCCAATGACCAATAATTGATTCACACGCCATTTGTTCCCTTAGGATCCTGAAGCCCATGTGCACCATTGGTTTGGGCTCAGGGTTTTCCAACTCCTCTAAGTGGATCCTCCATATCCACCAACCTGGCCAAAGCGCCGGACATTCGCATTTCGTCCCCCCAATTTCGTAAATAACAGTAATGCCTCAAGAAGGCACTGAGTAGGACTTCCATAGCAGTGACTGTATACGCGTGACCATGTGAGCGCAATTTGAGAGAGAGCCAGCTTTCCCAACCCTTGGTCATACCAGGGTTTTTAGGGGTAAAGGTCCTAGTATTTGACTAATGGGACCACGGGGGTTCCATGCAATCCTGGGTTATCAAATAAAAATTCTTCATATGTGAAGGTGAATTTTAAACGCGACAATTCCTGGCTTTTTCTCAGTCAAGTTCGTTACTTCGAATAATCGTAGTTCCGTAGGGTTAGAAATTCGGGTTTCGATGGACTCATCCTCTACACTGTGAGTTCATTGTAGTCGAAGAAAGATTATAACCATCTAAGAGACTAATATGTATGTTCTAATCTAAGAGAACTGCTAAATCATCAGTATCCAATTTTCAAAATGAGTGTCGGCAGCAGGCTTTTTGAAGACAGTTCAAATCAGACACTTTGTGATGAAGAGAAACCTTACTGAGTAGCGAGAAGATCCACCGACCCCACTTCCTAACCCGTTTTTCCTCATTTTGAAATAAAAGCCTATCGGATGAACACTACCTGTTATTTACCAATCCATCTATCTTGTCGGGTAGATCTGCAGTGTTCGTACACGAAACACATGTATAACCATAACCTCTCCGTGTGACAGCCCTATTTAAGTGGGCAGGGAACTTATATATACAAGGCTTTCTAATTGAGTTTTCTCTTTGATATTTCAGAATCTTAAATTAATCTCTGTAGAACGATCACAGGGAAGCTAATTGGTAAGTCGTCCCACATTCCTCCATTATTGTTTGTGTTCATTTTTTAAAGCTAGGATGTTTCTGGATTATTACTTATCTGTACAAATTGGGTCGACACAGAACCAAAATTATTAAGTCATTTGATTATTTTGAAGATGCCGTGTGATAAATACACAGTTTTGTAGTCCATAGTGTTTAATTGCATGTTCTTAGGTCACAGTTCTATAGCGTCTTGTTTTTTCTTAATGCATGAATACACCACTCGTCTGCAGTGCGTTTTAGTGTCTTTTTCCACCCCCTGATTTTATAGACTAATATCATGCATTGATTTGGTCACTCAGTCGTCGTCTAGCATGCTCTTATGCCAGTTAACATTGGACATAGAGATAGCCTGTGACTGAAATAGATGTTGTACTTGCATTACCCCATAAGTCGTCTATGAAAGCTTATAGCTTCATCAACAAATTTACTATCTTTAATATCTTTCACAATATACACTAGTGATTTGGGTGTTTCATTATCAACAGTCTTGACAGGGGCGGCCAAACCAAAACGTGGAATCAGTGCTTGAAGTCACTAACTTCTGGTCTGAGCCATGTTGGTAGATGCAGACTACTTGGTTGGGGTCCGCGTGACTATCGTAACCAATGGTTGGAGACTCTTGTTGACATGGCTCAGAATCGATCACAATGGCGTCGGTGTATACTCTCTGTCTTCTTTTAAACTAATGGATTAAAATCGCTTCATATCTTTCTTTCTACGAACTAATTCTTTATCTCTGTACTATGTCCTTATATGCAATCTTTCTTTTATATATTACTACCACTGAATTAACCACTTCTACGAATCCGGTGTTCATCTTGTGCTAATGCGGTATGGCAACTTGGACCGATGCATATATGTGCCTGGTCGTACGTTGCAGCTGACTGACTGAGTCTTGACAGCGTCGTTACATGTTTTACCCTTCACGTATGAATATCTAGCTGATAACTTCGAAATGATTAGATGCTCGAGAATTAGTTTCTAGTGACTGCGAATATAAATAACAAAAGGGATTTAAACCGTGAACTGATAGGAAGTGTACATAATATGTCACAGTGGTCGCAACTATTCCTTTGTAAAAAACCTTCCCATTCTGTCTTTTCGAATTATATTTCTGATGTTTAGGCTTTCTCATTATCGTTGCTGCTATATTATTTTGATCTCTTGTTACTCATATTGTTAGTATGATATGGTTGCTTGGGCCAGTGTAATTCTTGTTAGGCTGTATGTTGATGATGACCGATTGATAATCATTAAGCAATTGAATCATTCAAGAGACAGCATCAGGAGATGGTAATAATAAAAAATATAAAATTGCTTCATTCACCAGGCACTTGAGTATAAGCGACACTCTAAGTGTAAGGGCTAGCGATATCCGGTTTCCCAAACCGAAGTGGGTGAGGTGGAGTTCGAAGCTTAGGTTTAGTGCTTGAAAATCGAGCCCTATTAAAATTTGTCAGGAATATCACTCATATAGTTAATAGTTAACTAGACTGCTGTGGAACTAGATAGTTAAGTGTTCTACTGGGATCAGGTAACCGGAACTAATGACAGTTGAACTATTAAATTACTGCCATGTAGTTGCTCACTGTTAACGAACCACAAAAGCATTCCTATCGTGGTTCTTTTTTTAATGATATTCTGGGTCTTGTAAATAACTCGAAGTGAGAGAAAACTACTGGCCATTCCTTTAGGAATGGCAGTGCGAAATTAAATATTATAATTTGAGGTCTGAACGTAATTCCATTGGACTGGTGTTTTAATCTGCGATCATTTCGGTTTCTGCGAGGAAATCCCCTTGCGGCAAATGTAGAGTATTCAATTTGACTAACAAGGTCTAGAGGTTATCCATAATAATTTAATGCTTAATCGATGCTCGGTTGAAGTAAATGGTAGAAATGCACATTTCGAATTTAATTCTAATCTTACTAAGCAAAATCGTTTCTTTTCCCGTCATCCTTCAATACTGATATGATTGGATACAAATAAGACATCTTAGTAACGTATGTCGGCTGTTTACTGCATATATCAACTGGTCGTGGTTTCGCTAAGTTTTTTCACTTGTCTGAAATAAATATGGCGACCTAAAACTGCTACGTAATTCAACTTGATATTTGACTCGTTTTTTTGTTGCTTTTTGTTAATCATTCTTGTTATAACTTGTGGTCTGAGTGCCCTGTTAATGTATAACGTGATGATACCGCCAATTAGAGAGTAGTAAATTACCGATCGGACCAATGACGCATAAAATAAGTACGGCTAGTCTAGAGTACCTACCGGTCCTGCTTCCTGCTTAGCCCAGTCCAAAACACCAATCTCAGCCTCTGCGATATGAATAATTTATTTCAAATATACTGGGTTTATATACCAACCAGACAGATCACATCGTACCATAAAATAGGAAACAACAGTTGTACAAGATTTAACCAAATGTGGATGTAAGGGAGATAGTAATTAATAGACAGGGTATAACTCAAAAATGGTAAATCGTATAATAACAATTCATAGGTTAAAATAAAGCTTATGATAAGAGAGACATGAATATAAATAGTTTAGTTAATTAACAATTATACGGTAAAAATGTACGTGTAGTATTGATCCATAAATGGATCACAAAAATTACCATTCATTATTCTTATCGTGATATAAAAATTCTTCCCACCTAACATGGACTTCAATTTCATCAAATGTACTTATCTACATTTTATTATTTTCAGCTCCCAACTTGGATGGCAGATAGACTTACTGAGTTACAAGACGCAATTAATTTACAAGCTGAAAATTTGTGCAACGCAATCGGTGTAATACAACAAGTCGCTCAGCCCAGTTTCTTTTCTGACTTTAATTGGGCTTCCAGGTCTGCTAAACCAGAATACCAGGCATTTATCCAAGCTCAACCAACTGACGGTTAGTGTATATATGTGACTTATGCAATGTTATTAGTAGTATTCAAAAAACAGATTCTTCAAATACAATGAACGTAGGCCAAAAGCAAAACCAAGGTATAGGATAACGTAAGCGTCCGGCACTGGTCTGCACGTAGATTTAAACATGCTAGTTTATTTTGATTTTGTGTCATAGTTCAGTAGTTACTGTGAATATTCATTATAGTGAAATCAACATTATCTTTGCCTTGGTTCTGTTGTTTTAAGTTACTGTACAAACCTACTCCGTTGATTTGAGTACATTTGTGATGTGTGCTACTGATGTCGACAGATATAAGTAGTATTTATCATCAATCGAAAGTGAAATGCCTGGTGAAGAACAAATAGTATGACATTATTACCATGTATTTACTAAAACAAGATACTGTTCCTTGTACCATTTTGGCCGTTCATTTGTTTGTTTATGGTCTTAGATTTTTTTAGTGTTTCAGATATTCCCAAGACTAATGCACACCCATGATCACCGAAATTACCTTCTGATCAAGCCCTTATAAAATCCAGTAGTTGGGTATAACGGTTCTCATCCAGCCAGAGAGTACTTTGTTTACTAGGGGAGCATGTACAGTTGTGTAAATGGCGAGCTAGGAAAGAGAAGAACAAAATAATAGATGAGTCGACAACTCAGAATGCGCACACAATGCACTTACATTTGTTAAGGAAAGCAATAGATCACAATCAGCCATAACACAAATCTCAAATTAAGACGATCTTAAAGTCGAAACTAAGAGCAAATAGTTTAACCTACTACATGAGTTTCTAAATCCACTGTAATTCTTTAGTTTGTGTAGTAAAACAGCCATCTTTATTAACAATTTAGAACTTTCTAGTTACTTCAACTATACCTAAGTCCTGGACAGTAACTCTAATTGTCCTGTTAATAAACTTATTCAAACATTCCACAAAATGCTTTGATTGATTCAGTATTTTTGTTGAATTTAGATATTGCTCGGAGTTTTGCTGTTGCAATTTCCGCTACTGCAAAGCAACTGGATGCATTAATTGGAGCTCTGCCTGAAGAAGAAGCCAGTGCAGATATTCAACGTGCTACTGTTCACAAACTTTTAGAAGCTTATAGATCTGAAGGAGCGAAACTTGCGCGTATCACAACTAAACTTGAGTCAAGGTTGGCTGAAGTACGTCGCTGCTTAACAGCTATTGCTCAAACACAACTCACTACCCAATCACTAGAATCAGAGGTATTTTTAGTCTTTAATATCTCACATTTGATGAGTTGCTAGTTTGTCACTCATTTAGTTTCATTGTTACTACCAGTACGATCGTTATTTTTCGTAGTTCTAATGATAAATCATCAGTTCTTAATGCCATGAGTTTATCAAAGTACTGCTCTGTACATTACAGTTTAGCTAAATATATACAATATGTATCTAAGATTCACCTATAATCCTAGTAACTACGTTCCCCATATATTTATCACAAATGCTCACATGAGTTAAACCCTCTCATTCTCATATACCTTTGGTAAAAAGATAGATTTGTCTGGAATTTAAGTTCTTCCACATTGGAAAACATTATAAGTCTTTGCTCCACCAATTGATTTGCCATAAATATCTTAGGTTCACAAACATTAAGCCAAGCACCATAGTAGGGAAAATTTAAAAGTATGAAACACGCTTTTCAAAACAAGCTTACCTTCAAAATGTCATATATATGTGCTTAACTCGTTCTACCACACGGGAAGTGAAGTCAGTGTGTTGCTGTCGTTCGTCCACCTAAGGATTTTTGAAGATAGTGATTTGAGATTAGGGTATTGTTATCATCGTAACAATAATAATAGTAATTGTAATAATCATAAATGCTTCTTATCTCAAGTTGAGTTCCCATATGGGATAAATAAAACAGTTACTTTTAGTATAGAGGGATTTGTGGAGGTTATAGAATTCTCATAGTTTAAACCACGAACTGGTCTTAGCTAGACAAACACTAAAGGTCTAGAAGCATTGAGCAGTCGTTTTGTCTTAGTATGGTATTCCTCATCAGTGAGGATCCACGGGGCCACAACCAAGAACCGGACACAGAACCTTCGATCTCACCTGTGAACACAAACTCTTTACCACTAAGTCGGGATCTAACGGTGTTCATCTAACTTCACGATATTGTGCAATCGTCATGCTTCGCCTGAGATGAATTCTGGCTTTGTGGTCTAGAGGTTAAGGCTTCATGTGTGAGACTGAAAATCATGTATTCAATCCTGTGGTGGAGTCTTGAATGTTCACTGATGTGGAGTACCATATTAAGAAAAAACGACCGTCCAGGTCTTCAGTGGTGGTCTAGTTAAGATCAGTTCGTGATTTAAACTATGAATATAAGCATTTGATTCACTATAACAAAACGTCCACTGTTACTTTCTATTCGTTGTACGGTTTGTGCTTGTTATGTTGAATATCTCGCTGTATTTCAATCGATCTTACATATTTATAGGTCGCTGTTCTTTTTGCTAGTATTTGGATTATGATTGGTTGAGTAGAAATTATATCTATGGGTTACTTTGAGCTGTGGTAATTTACTTACCGTACCAAAAAACTGGTGTTCTTGCTTACCTTCAGTAAATCACCAATGTTGTGACCTGTTAGTGGATAATAAGGCGTGACAGCCAAAGTTTCAAAGATTTACATATGCACAAAGTGAATGGGATTTTCGGAAGATGGAAATCAAAGTTACCAAAATAATAGTAATGTCAATTAACAATAAGGAATTACTAAGCACAAAGAGTAATTTGATAAAACCTCGAAGGAAGTGGGTAAATCGATGAATGTCAAAACTCAAAATCGCGAGTAAGAATATTAATGAATGGATCAGCTCCATTATAACCGATATTGTTGAATAAATACTCTGAAGTATTTCTCTATTTCCCATTGAATATAGCCCTGGTACGGCCGAGAGTGGGGAGAGTCCGCTCACTCTCTCAAAATGCTCTCACATGGCCACGCGTATATAGCCTCTGCCAGGGAAGTCCTATTCACTGCCTTCACGTGGTGGGGGTGTTGTTTACGAAAATGAGAGGACGAAAAGCGAATGTCCGGCGCTTTAACCGGATCCCAAACCAATGGTGCACATGGGCTCCAGTATCCTGCGGGAACAAATGGCGTATGAACCAATCGTCGGTCACTGGCTACCATGGGACTGCATCTCCTCACGATGCTCCACTGCCTTGTGGGTCAGACGTTCAGGTCGAAGTCTCGGGGTCTGGCCTCCTAAGCAAACCACCTGCTTCGGTTTGGGCACTCGGGCAGTATCACAGCCCTCACACATATCCAATGAGATCTGTGTGGCGCATATATATTTGGTGCCTCCTTGTACCAATATCTATGTGTTGAAATAAAAATAATAAATAATAATAGTTCATAAACTATTTGTTATATTTTGTGATCGCCGATTAGAGAGCAGTGACTTTTTAATCGGATCAATGACACGTAAAACACATGCGAGCAGCCCAGAGTCCTGATTGCTCTCGCTTCCTGTTTAGCCCAGTCAGTTAAGTCCAGAACACCAATCTCAGCCTCTGTGATAGGAAGAAACTATGAAGTTAAATAGAACTGTAGCTTCTCAAATTTTTTCCAAATGTTCACTAGTTGGCCGTCTCCGTTTCAACTGTGAAATAAGAAGAAATAGATCTCATATATGATGGGTTGTTTTTTTAGAAAGTTGTAATATTTGTAATCCAGGTGAATTATATCCAATGTATATTTGTCTCAAAACTTACTACAACTAAGTTTATGTGTTGACCTATGTTAAGTAAGTTATCAGTTCACAATGCTACATTAGGGTTAATCTTCGTTATATATAAGTACATAAAACAAATTTAACACTCATTATGCTAAACAACAAAGACATGGTCTTGTTAAATCAATCGAATAATACAAAAAGAATTTTTAAATACCCAGAACTTTTATTCCTTTATTGTTATTGAATTTGTAAGATGGTTTTGGTTCCGTTACATTAATGCTAATTTTCTTCGTATTCATTTAATGTTTATCACAATTTTTGCGTATATTATTAGAACTATATAGCTCAGTGCATATGTAATTACTTAACATCTGAGTCACACGTTTAACAGCCCATACTTTTCTACGTTGACTTGTAATTCAACGTATTACACAAAGTCCAATGTTATGTATAATAAAGTTATGTAAGGGCTTAAGTACTGATTTCCCTATGTATTTATCATAATTTTTCGTTGAGTACACTCCTTTGTGTTTCACTGAAATATGCTTAAGATATAAAACATACAAGTAACTCACTTCTCCGTTTGGTAACTTTGTTAATATATAGGTTTTATTTATTTATCATTTCAACAGGTGTATAGAGAATTTTATGGAAACTGATCCTAATCTGTCGTTAAACAACGACTCAAGTTATGAGGCTCCTGAATACATATATTCATCACCACCATCGTCTATTTCCTGGCTCACCTATTTAACTATTATATTCCTTTTTACTTTATTTTTTCGACTATGCTTTACATTCGGTATTGTGGATAGATTACATGCTCTTGTTAATTTTATTTTGGCAATATCCACGCCATCTGGTCGTAAACGTCGAGCACTACGCGCTAAGTATGTTGAAGATCTAGGAAATTTACGAACTCAATTAAAAAGTGTACATATGGTGGATGAGTTTGCTACTTATTCGAAACTAGAACGAAAGATAAAACTATTGGAACGTCAGTTGAACTCCTTGGCCCCTGAAACTCTTGTTGGATCAGTAAGTTTTTTGTTTCAGTAATTTACTGAAGTTCGCTTACTATTTGTACAGTCATTATAAGGCAAATACAATTCAATACAGTAGGTTAGTGAGGAATCACCAAATCTCAAATGCGATTAGTCAAGAAATGGCTTTCTTTTTCAAGGGATGAGAAAATCCATTGATAGGCTTAATTTCCTAAGGGACAGGCACATATATAAATAAATCAGTTCACATACGATCGATTAGCTTTAGCGAATTAAATGCTCTTCACTCAATATTTTCTCTTGAGCAACCAAGTTCATGTGCTTGGAAATATATCTCAGGATCAACTCTCGAACACTGCGCATCACAACATAATTCACTGGGTATGCACTACGTTTTTTAGGTACTGTTTTCGTGACTGTTATGAGTACTTTAACATTGTTTGGTGCTTTTATATGTAGAGAATGTCTGGAAATATCACGTTCAATAGACATCAGAATAGCATATTATGAGATGTTAAGAAGTGATGATGTTAAACCAACTTATTTAACTAAACCAATTTTGATTCACTGTCTAAATTTTGGTTTATCTACAGGGTTCACAATTTACTGAATGTTACAATGGTTACCAAAGTTTGGGTTTTCGTACACTTACGTTTCAGTCTAAATTCTATTGTCCCCCTTCACTTCTCACACACATTTCTCTTCACTCTATCAACAATTTCAACTTTCTATTGTATTCTGACGTGAAATTTCTTGTTTTTGGCAATTTTGATTTGAAAACTATTCAATATTATTATTCTTCAGAAACTGTAACTATCGAAATGTTTGATGTTTAAGCAATAGTTCGCGTGTCCAAACCCCGTTTCATCTCAGGTTATAGTAATAGGGTATTATCATAAAATCTACTATCAGTATGTCTCACGTTAGCACAAACTTTTTCATCTGGTTGATGAACCTAATTATTCTTATTCTTTCACAGACACAAATAGTTGAAGTGAAACATGATTTAATGTTTTCTTCGAACTGTATTCCGTACCTAGTTGAAAATAATACAATCACTTTTGGCAGTTACTGTGGATTAGGTTATAAATGAAAGTTCACATTTTTCTGACTGTCGACTATAGTCATTTCTATTGATCTGAAATATAGGTTTGGATCTGTTGATTGACATGTTTCATGACGACACCTTTCACTCAAAGGCTTTGACATAAATTACATAATGATATTGAAAGCTCTTTATTTGAATATACTTAGTCAAGTTAGTGCTACTTATGGGGAAGTGTCTTTTAAATTGATTTCATCATGTGACGTTCGTCAAAGCTGTCCACTTTCTCTATTTTTACTCTACTCTCAACATTAACACATTTTTAGAGTTGACAATTTTTTCATACATTCGTTAGCTAAAATTTTTCCCTTATATGCAACCATAACTAATTTAGAAGAAATTTAAAAGATTAGAATCAGCAAAACCATGCCGACTATATCCGTTCATTTACTGTCATTGTTCTCGCGTGGTTTATATGTTGGGTTGTTTACACTTCCTATTACTGACCTGCGAATGTCCGGCGCTTTAACCGGATCCCAATCCAATGGTGCACATGGGCTCCAGTATCCTGAAGGAAAAAATGGCGTATGAACCAATCGTTGGTCAACGGCTACCATGGGACTGCATCTCCTCACGATGCTCCACTGCCTTGTGGGTCAGTCCTTTAGGTCAAAGGCTCCGGGTGTGGCCCCCTAAGAAAACCACCTGTTTCGGTCTGGGCACCCGGGCAGTATCACAGCCCACACACATATAAAATTTTGTGTGGCGCATATATATTTGGTGCCCTCTTGTACCAATATTTATGGGTCCAAATAAAACAAATAAATAAACTGACCTGCTTGATTCTCATCACTAACTTATCTAGGTTAACTTCGTGTGATTAGTTGACTTAAACATTTCGGCAATTACATTTTCCTTTAGGTTTAATAATAAATAAATCACGCGAGATGAAGTAGTAGTATTAGATAAGGTTTATTTCAAATAAACTTGTTCTCAAATAAAGCGAGCAGGCAGAATAGGGACGGATGAATCGAATGTATGTAATAATTAAATGAAATTCATCATACACGAGTATAAAAGATATGGTATCCAACGCAACCAGATCGTCAAGCAAATGTATATAAACATTCGTTTTTTTATGCACACAGGTAAGACGAGCTCATGATTACCTGTAAGAGTAAATATAAAATAGCCCAATCGTATTTTAATTATACATTTAACTGCTCGAACAAATAAAGTGTACAGGCTAACGGGAAAGACTGAAATGATTGTTCTGTTCAGAAAATAGAATAAGGTTTTAACACTTTTATCGGAGTAGTATATTTTGAAATCGATTTGAATAGAACAGATCCGTTTATCTTTTGGTAAAGTATGTGGTCGACCTTGAACTACTTTGCAACCAATAAGAAAGGTTTGTTTAGTTCTAAAACAAGTAATAAAAATGTAAGAACACAGCTAAATAATGAACCTTTCATCAATAACTAACATCAGTCATAATGAAAGACTACTTTGTAGATGTGAGGTTGACAATTTTTCAGCGTTTAATAACAACAATGCAACATTTAGCATTTCTAACCATTTTTCTATATATTTAGTGATTAAGCTAGGTATCGCATAAGATCGAGGTTGACCTCGAGAACTTCGAACACTTTACTTCAACCTGGAGTTTGTGCTAATGGTGTTCAGCAAAACAATGAAAGCTTCGCGATCAAACCATCCTGCTCAGAGAACAATAACACCTAAATTATCTACCTGGGCTTCAAAAATTTCCCACCATCTTATACCATTGGTCATGAAAGAAACCTTAACCACATGGGACTATATATTATGGACGAAGTAATCAGATAGCATCTCATATTTTCACAAAATTAATTCATCCACATAGCTATAGAGAAGCTTTACAATACAGCTATTGTCAGTTCGTTATGAAATTGTAACCTAAACATATAATTTCAAACCTAACCAAGAATGGTCTGGGATCTTCAAAATCTATCTGGGTCATTTTACCGATTCTGGAATATAGATAAATTGATTTGTTTTTGTTATCTCTTTAGGCCCGGCTAATTATCACATTGTTTACTCGCCAATCGAAATGCAACTTATACAATCTTAGCACTGTACCAAACCAATGAAGTTCGACCGGTGTGAGCAGCCTAGCGTACTTATTGACCCTTTGTTCTCCTAGCCCTTCCAGTTCAGTCCAGAACGTCAATAACAGCTTCCACTTTGCGGATCATTTATTTCTAACATACTTTGTTTATGTACCAGCCAAACAGATCACATCACATTGTAAAATAGGAAATAACATTTGTACAAGATTTAGCCAAAACGTGGCTGTGAATGTGGGAGATTGTAATTAATAAACTGAGTATAATTTAAGAATAGTGAATCGTATCATAATAGTCTGTGGGTTAAAATGTAGATATACACAATCTAGTTACTTAGTAGTTATACAATAGAAATATATATATATATATATATATATATATATATATATATAATATTAGTCCATTAATAGTTCACAGAAGTCACCCGTAATTTAATCTTCACTAGTATATACCAGTTTTGTTTGATTAACAGGCCAAGTAACTTGTAGAAGACAATAATAAACTTATTAATTGTGCAAAATCTATTTACACTTACAGTATCATTGCTTCGCTTCCCGTAAATTACCCATTAATAGAAGCTTTTTTCTGATTGACTAGAAAATAGCTGGAAATTCGTCGCGCATTTTTTTAATCTCTCGCCCCTGTACTACTATACTTTAATTGATGTATGTGATGATTTTACGTCCATATGTTTTTATTCTCTTTTCATTTAAACATCTATGTATGTATATATTTCAGATGGTTCGCCAAGTCAGTATCTACGTTGGATTATATGCAATCGAAGCAATATTTATGGCTTATCTAATTTCACATTCACCAGTTGAGACAATTTCACCAGTAACACTACAATCTCTCATGATAAATAATTATTCAATGAAAGATCTTACTATTTTTATCTGTCAAGTAATATCATATATACCTGTAAAAATTGTAGTGATATGTTGGATTATTTTATGTCGTTTAACTATTGGACCAGCAGTATCTAAATTAGGAAATAAATTACAACGACAAAAACAGTCTCAAAATCAGCAATCAAATCAACACTCAGGTGTTAATTTTACTAACAGTACAACAAATACTGTATCCACTACTAATTATTCTGTGCCCAATACATCATCCTAAGATCACCGTAAATATGCAGATAGAAGTCTTCTTTTTTGTTAACTTAAAAAGCAAAACAAAACAATAATTATTCATTCCATTTGTGTTTGTTAACGTTTTATGAGTGGTGGGTTTATTTTCTGGCACTGATTTGTATACTCGATGAATAGTATATATATATATATATATATATATATATATATATATATATATATGTATGGTAGAAATGGACGATGCTGACAGCTTTAAAACGAATGAAATTGGTCAGTCAGAATGAAGACGGCGATTGTTGAATTTAAGTGCAAGTTTTAAGACAGAATCATGTTTTGGGTGAGATCATATAACTATAGAACATCTACAGAGTACTGGACTATTAATCTTGTGTGGCTGTGATCAGGAAATAACATACAGAAAAGGCACGGAATTTGAAGATGAGGTTTTAGGAGTATTTGGGTTAGAGGAGTGCCAAGAATTTTAGGTTTAGAATGTTTAGGGTTGGGTGTTTTTTTCTAAACATCCATTTCGTTTACAAAGCTTCGTCGTATGTTTGATTTATTAATTTAAAGGTCATTCTTAGAATCGCCTCAGGTCTTCATTTTGGTTCAGTTCCATTCCTTTTATCATAATTCATGAGATGATAACTGTTCTGAGAGGAAAATGTTGTATTTTTAGTTTACAGAGTTTAACAAGTATCTTTTGAGGATCTTATGTGTTTTACTGTCACATATAATCTTTTTTCAAAACCATGAGATTGGTACGACAAATTAGATACAGATTAGTATGTTCCTGTTGTAGAAAGTTGCGAAAACTACCGGTTTACTATTATCACTAAATATAATGAGGTAGAATTCATAATGTTAATTTCATCGCCTCAAATCAAACGTTCAGACATTTTGGCTATTAGAGATCTCGGTTACACCACTATTGTATCAATTACAACCCCCATATTACACATAATCATACATTATCAGTGCATTCAAATGTCATATATTAAAATTCATTCCAATAATATAAGTAATCTTATAGACTAAATGCCTATTCAGATACAGTCCTTGATATGCTACGCGATGTTAGGCAAATGAATTTTTATTTCAGAGATTTAAAGAAGTAGGTAGCAGTGTAATTTAACTTCCTTTAAAAGAAATGGTACCCAAAATAAACTTATACTATAATAAGAAAGATTACTTCATAATGTGATCCGGGATTTCAAATAACAAGGAGCTTGCTTCATGACCGGGGGTCAGAAAAGAATGGAGAAATGAGAATAATTTACCGGTCAAAAGTAAGAGCGATGATATCTGCTTGACTGATCTGAAGAAGAAATATAAAATGCTAAGATCATAATAATTAGGAAACATTGTTAAAGGATAATATGTAGTAGCCTACTTAGCAAGTGGAGTAAATAAATTGGAAGAGTCCTATTACAAATGAGGGATTTTATTACACACATTATAACGATGGTGAACTCAATAGGGTCACGGAAACGATTTTGTCATCATAAATCTTAACGGTTTATTATAAAGTTGGTTCATCCAACATTAATTACTGAAGATCATTGTTGAGGATCGTCAGAGCTCACTTTGTGAACGCCTTGTTTTTGCGATTTGATTTTGTAAATTTGAATTTCTCGTTTTCGTGCCAAAAGGTACCCATTTTTACCCTTACATTATATTTCCCACTTGAAAGGACCCTAAATGTCATCGGCTGGTTGTTTCTTTTAGTATGCTGTTTTGTGACGTTTCTCAAGTACATTTTTATGTTGTATATATACGCTTGGGTTGTGTGCCTGTTGTTGCTCGTGCTTCTGGCTGTTTGTGGAATATACTAAGAGAAATAATCGGACTACATCATACTACTTACCTTTAATTACGACTTCAGCTCTAATAAAACCCAGAATTCTATTTTTTTACAATTATGTCGAAATACTAAATATTTTTTGTAAGAATGATAATAACCTGCATCCTACTTCTCATATCATTACTCAAGATTGCTATACTGGAATTAGTCAATCTTCGAGTTAGACATATACGAATTAAATACCTGATTGGGACTGATGGATAAATTGGTTTATTTCATGTTGCATGTAATGGTAGTTTCTGTTCTCCATCATTCGAAGTACGCATTCATGTGATCATATGTACTGAATTTACCACTCACCTGTATCAAAATTTTTATTGATGTAGTAATTATTAACTATGCTTGAAAATTTTGTCCCACTTGTAAGATCTGCCATGTATTTTACCCTGTAATCAGCTAAACCACACACAATAGTTTCGAATTATTAATTAGTCTAAAAATAAATATCATGTTGTTTACAGAAAACGTTTTGGTAAATACAAATTGTACACTGAAGAAAGTAAATACTCGGTGCATTTATTTATGATTCATGAACAACCTATTGTTAGAGGCGTTATACATCCACTTGTCATTTTGTTAATTTTAAATTATTTGAAATGTTGGCGATTAAAGTTAGAAGACGGAAGATGAATACGAAAAGGTCAGATGAGAAAACAACTAAAATAAATAATGAGTATGTGAATTAGCTAATTTCCAAAAGAAATTTGTTATTCAGTGACGGTAAAGATTCATGATTGTATGTTAAGTATGGTTCCATGTTTGGTATGTTTTTCGTTCTGCTCATGCACATAAAAAATAATGAGTGTTTGAGATATATTGTGTGCTTGAAATATAATAGTAGAAGTTTGGCTGCTGTCTTCTCATTCCCACTCGAGACCAGGAACAGAAGAAAGGCGTACTTTCTGGACCAATAGAAGTTAGAATTATTCTCGGCTAAACTTAAGATTAAGCTTACCGGTCGAGAGCTTAGGACTGGCAATTACTGATTAGTATACGAGAGAGTAGATAAATCATAACCGAAATTCTGATTGCTCTCCCGAGCTATCGATCAACGTATATTAATAACAATGTGACAGTGAATAAATATATGAGTACTGATTCATTTTGTATTGTTTGTTTGAATCTCCCCATTGGTATTCAGCACTGATTGGTCAGTTTCATATTGGCATGTGTGCATCCTGTACGGACCGCCTCGATATTGCCTTTAGTCACTAGCATTATAAAGAAAGTTGGATGGTGGTTAGCAGTGGGATCCAGGACATGCATTTCGATCTGTTTAAGTGAATATGAACTCTGGGATACAGGTAATTGGGTTTAGGTTAAATAATCTCAGTAAGATAAAGTACAAACGTAGTCATGAGACATAACATTATGATACGTACTTTCCAAAAATGATTAGTAACAAGTCAAAAATAAAAAAAGCAATAAAATTAATTCAATGTACTTAAGGTAGAAATATTGAAAACAAAGTTCTTATAAGAAGTATAGGAAGTAGTACTTTAATTGTTGACCTTACAAAATCACATCGTATTGAATTAGCTAATGTCTAGGAAAGATTCACTTCTGGTTAGTCTTTATTCCTGGATTTTAATTAAGGAATATTATAAATTTGATATGAGGTAATGTTAGATAGTGGTTTACAGTGAAATTGAGGATGTATATTTTTTCGATCTTGGGACTCATCAGCTGGATGTACTTGCACCCTAATATTGATTTTCACAAAGGAATTCTAACCCATTATCTTGTGCTTCAAACACTCAACATACTATTCACTTATCTATTGATTCCATATAGTCACAGGTTTGTTCACGATTTCACTGTTAGCCTAAATATGTTTAGAATACTTGTAACATAGTGGCTATATCGGTGAAATTCTTACAGAACTCATGTATGCCAAAAAAGTGATCAATTACAATTCTTAGCATCGAAAATGAAAAAGTTCGAACAATTATCACGAGTTAATATGAAGTAGGTTTAAAAGAATAACTCAAAATCAAAGCTCTAGTTATTCAAAGTAGACTATAAAATATAGCTATAAAAGTCAGTTGTAAAATGATGAGATAAATACTGATAATTCTCATATGTTTCTGCCTTTATTTCGGTATTTTTCACAATTTCTGTGAAATCGTAGAATGTCTGTTGATTTGTTTAGTTTGTAACGTAATTATCTTGGGTTCTGTGAGATCAATAAGTAGCTATATTGAATTTAGATCCAAAGAGTAAATCGTCTTATGACATTGCATTTCAACACAATAAATTTTGTTCGTTTGGAAAATATGATATAAGAATTCAAACAGCTTCAAATCGAACCAATGTGTTTGATGTTTAACGATCTAGAGTTCCTTTTCCATACGTCTCACTTATTAATATTGAAAAAAGTTGAAAATTCTATGAAGAGTCATTTCCAGTGGCTCTACATTAGAACAAAGCAATGTCAGTGAATACTTCATGTTCAGTGAAATTCTTTACATTAATGCTAGTACTCAAGCGATAAAATATGTTTTTTACTGAACGCTAGAACGCATAAACAATCGGTTGAAAGTTTCCTTTATAATAACCTTTATTCATGATAGTCAACTACAAGCGAGTAGGAGAATATTCTTCAAGGAAAAAATAGCTAATGAGTAATGTAGAGTAGGTGTAGTGTATCACATATCAGGATTTATGCGGGCGGATTTCTTTTAGTAGCTAGCTTAAATGTACTACGGCGTTAAAATGTTAGTTATATGTGCAACCACATTTACCACTATAAAGACTTGTCTGTTAGAATAGGGTTTAATAGTCAATTTAGAATGGAGTATTGAACAAACTCTGAGGTAATATTGTCACAACTAACATCTTCAAACCTATTCTCACTCCTAGTATTATTTCTGTTTGAGAAATAATCTCAGATGTTACTGTGTAACTGTTAAAGTACTTCGATAATTGCAGGACTGTACCAAGCACATTAGTCAAACATCAAATGTTAATAGCCTATATTTATTTAACATGATTGTGACTGATCCTGATGAGAATGTGAATTTGGCCACAGGTATTCATACCAATTTAGTAACATAGGCTTAAAAATAATAAGTAGAACATTGGGGAAAAATACATTTGATGAAAAAAACAATGCACATATAGAAAATAATAATATGGCCAAATAATTGAAATTCCCTAGTGATGAGGAAATGAGCAGTATTGGGTATTTGTCAGAAGATATGTTAACGAAATGCAAGCAATTGATAACAATCACTTTTTATACAAACAAGATGGATTTGATCAGGTTACCATCAATAAATTAAACGACTACTATTGTTTGCTTTCTTTTTATAGACCTCGATTAGATTTCCTAAGTAATTCAATATAGTAAGCTATCACTGAACTAAATTAAAACACTGAAACATTTATTATGATGTATTAAGAAGACCAAGTACAAATTCGTTTATTTACATAGTGTATGAGGATTAGTTCGCTTCAAAGAGTTTCCACCATGAAGTGACAAATTTAAGAAATCATTTAGGGAAGAGAACACCTTATATTAAACTCTTCTGTGTCTGCGTCTCCTTAGCATTGTGGAAACACGAAAACAAGAGCGACTGAACCATGAGCCTTCATGTCCTGAATTTTCAGTTCAGTTAGTTTTCAGTTATAAAATTTAGGGTTGTTTCATACTTATTTATTGTCTAGGTGTGAAACTCAGAAGACTGCCTTCTTAATATTAAATCCATTTTGGGACGTTCGTCCACTTTTTTACCGATACGCATATAGCTGTGATTGTCACGCGTCAGTAGTTATTATCTTAAAAACAAAAATTTATTCAGAATTTCCAAAATCTACCATGTCATTGATTTTTCTATATTTTACAGTATTCTATGTTTTTTGCGTAAAATGGAAGTTTGCTTGGCAAAAAACAGCATCGTTAACACAAAGATATCTAACACAGTCAATAAACTTTAAAAATCAGAAATAATTTGATTTCATTGCATTTCATTCCTTTACTTTTGACATATATAGTGCACAAAATGTAATTGAAAATGTGGTATAAGTGAAGTCTTCTGAAAAAGGATTATTTAGTCAACAGTTATTTTTAAAGTAAAATTCTGTTGTTTGTAAAACGCTGTAAACGGCAGATTCATAAGATGATTGCCTGGTCAGTGTTACCACTGTTGAAGATATGTTATATTCTACAAGTGAAAAAAAATCCAAAAGCGTCTTAAAATTAGATATAGTAAAGTAGTGTGATTAGTACGTCCACAAAAATTAATAATTACTACAGCATCGAAATGAATCGTTTCATATTTAATTTTTGGAATAATGTCAATTAATGTTAGATAGGAATGAATATTGAGACTGATGTTGGATCTGGACTGTGTTAACTATTGATGGCAGAACATTATGACATATCTTTATTGTTTATATGATATGTCAAATACTTAATAAGTTTATGTATTTAACAGTAACTATATAAAAAAGTTAAAATTAAATTTGTCAGGTTTAGATTGATATTATGAATGTTAGAACACCATTAAAAAACCTAGGAAGCTGTTTTGTCCTAGTACGGGACTCCTCAGCAGTGCGCATTTGCGATGCCGAACGCGGGACTCGAGTCCAGGACTACTCAATCCTATTTAACATTTTCAAAGAATATATATCATAAAATCGCTTAAAAGCTTGTCGAATTGCATTTATTTTGTTTATAGTAATATCAAAAAATAATTCCATGCAAAAAAATGTTCGCTATTTAAAAAGTGTAAATATATGCATCCATACCTATCTGTATGTTATTATTGTTTAAAAATTTAGTAGAAAATATCATTGTTACCATCCAAGGGCAATTAGTTGTCCATGTCTTTCATAGATCTGAAGGTACATATGAGTAGAATATATCAACCGAAGCATGAGCCTCATACACACAAATCCTTAGCTGTTGATCGTTCATTAAGAAGGCTATCTTATCCTTTCTTATTTAATGGTATCACTGACTAGAATACTTACTCCCAACATATTCATTTGAAATTATTTTCGCTTCTTCTGATGTCGCTTTATAGTATGAGATGACTGCAGCATTCTTGTATTCTCTGATTAAACATTTTGATTTATCCTATTTAACATTTATCATCGTATTTTTCCTAAAATATGTTGGTAAATCGTCTGCTGTATTAATATACATGATGAAACTACGGATTGTTTATCGTTAGTCTCCGTTTCAAGATTATTACTACTGTTTGTGGAATTTTCGATATCTGTGATCATCTTCCAAAACCAGTGTGCTGACTTATAACCTAGATACTTCTCAGAATGTGTAGAGTTCTTGAACATTTCGATTTTTTTCACCATTAAAATTACCATTTATGTTATCATATATTAATGAACTATTGGGGTTTATAAAAGAAAGCGTACATAATTGACATTTTTCATCATAAACATCTTTTTGGATAATACAGTAAACTGTAGATATATTACTCAATAATATCTTTGGGGTTATCTGATCGTTTACAAACAGTTTGCCATAAGAATGGTTTTAAGCAATGATAATATGCTTTTATGGTGTCAGTTCATATTTATCTACTGACTAATATTTATAATGAACTTTGAAAACTTTATAAGGTTCATAATAAGTTTTAACGTCTTCTAAAGTATTGTTGTATGCGTATAAATTGAAAACTTTGAGGGTCTTACTACAGGAGTGATTATTAATATTTTACTTAGATATGTTATACTTCTTAATGCGTCTCAAGAATTTCCATACAGTTCTTTCAATGTGTACTGTTTACACAAGAGTTATTCTGGACTACATTTGAATGCTCTTACTGATTGCTTCATTAGTGGGCTGAGTAACTTTAATGATTACAAAATGGTAGCCAATGTCATGAGGTACTACATTTTTAGATATGATAGGTAAAGTAAATCATCACCATCGGTTTTATAACTCAGCCTCCCTAGATCACATATTTTAGTGAGTAATGTAACATCAGGCTTCAAAAGGAAGTTGTTAGACAGTATCTGATCATTCGTTTTCATGTTACAATATAGAACTAAAAGCTTTTGACTTTTTTACCGTCAGGGATTCTATGTTACTGAATTTTCGATGTATATTCTAGAAGCGATACACTAAAAGTAATATGGTATTCCAGTAATATATGGCAATTAAAGTAAATATATACTTTAGTTGAATTAAACTACCTGTTGTTTTGTTCATTTTAAAAATACATAAAAAATAAACATCTGATTACACTATGACTGATCTCGTGAACACACACACTAAACGTGATATTTGAGGTTATGAGCAAGTGGAAACTTTTGATTCTGAACTGATCACACATCATTTGTAACATATGCATTCAGATGTACTATGTTGAATTAAATTCATTGACTTCACTGGTCATTAGAATTTTTCGTAATGAGAGCAAAGAGCTTATTAGGTATTTGTTTTGAAAATGTTTTAGTTTCATCATAAAGTCAAAAACTTCTTACACTGTCAAAATGAGAGGCAGTCTTTGTTTCTCTTAGAACATCGATATGTATTACAAGTGACCTAAACTGGTGACCTAATTCTTATGTACAGTCTCTAAACGCCTTGTGTCAATCCTTCAGGACTGTTAAGTGTTTATAAATCACGAATTATCTTATAAAACTTCACGATTTTCAGTAAAAATAAGATAAAAGCACATTTGATCGAGGAGTTTTATGTCAGTTTATTGGGCTTGTGTGAATGTCTGAAGTGAAATCATTTTTTCAAATGCTGTCACTATAAAATTTCAGTTGATTCCGGAATTAAATTATGGTACAAATGAACAATTCCAAATTTTTTCCATTTAGTTCTGGTAACTTTTCACTATTCAACTTTTACTTATAAACTTGTCATTGCTGGAATACTGCGTTCCTTCTTGTAAGCGGATCAATATTAATAGGTGTGATGCGTTTTCCTTAACTCTAAGCCTATGGGCATTTACTCAGTCTCAAATTCTATCAAGCGACTGATAAATCTTTTGTAAATGCTTACGTCAATCACAAAAGTGCGTTGATAGCTTAAAACGTTTTGGTACCTCGATAACATGATCTAAGGAAAGGACTATACAGGAAACTTAATGAGAAATATCACATCATATGGGGCTTCATGCGATAATTCATACATGTCCGCTATAAAAACGACTGTGCAAAATTCCTAAACCAGATTACATGAATTGAGTATTACTAATATTAATTGTCTACTTTCTAGGCCTCAATGGTTAAAGTCACCCAATTTTCTTTAGGGTCAATAAAAGCGATATTTCAAACCATCACTTGTTTTTGATTCTCAATAGTAAGGCTTTTGAAATAAAAATGGCTATCAGACAAATTAACATCAGCCAATTTAAAAAGCACATGCTTTTACACAGCAACTTTGTTTTAGCCGAATTAAATATTCCGGTGCTTAAATAAATACACCAATATGTTTGAAGTGATAGTAAGTGGCGACTTTTTGTTACAAAGTGTAAATGTGTGTAAAACAACTTCGCGGATCTTTAAAAGTAGAGTCTAATATATAACATATTAGGCAGGACTTCTGAAAACATATTGGACATAATCGTGAAGAATGACTGAATTGTCCTCCATAATTCATCAAAGTTCGGTGAGTTTACGGAATTTTAATAACGCAGTGGAAGATTGTATGTCACCATTTTGGAATAAAAATTGAATTAAATCGACCTTGAGGTATGTATTAACAAGTAAATCTTGAAAATAAATAGCTTTGTAAGCCTTCGACACTGATCCTGACCATAATGGTTTTACTGAGTACATTTTTGGTTGCAGGTTTAGTATCTGTCTCATATTAGATCTGGGTGCTTTATGCTACGCATTTCCTATAATAACCGGTTAGTTTAGATTACATACACTTTGTTTTATCAACCTTTAAATATACACTCATATCTTGTCATAGTGGACCCTTGAATTTATTAGTTTTGAGATTGCCAAGTAAGAGAGATTTCAGATGACTGGGTTGTCAAATTCTGTATATCTGTGACTTTTTCATCTATACGGCTGTATCCAGCACTATCGTCGTTAGTGAACTAACAGTTATATTAATAAAGAACCGTAAAATCCGTTATCACAGACACGCTTATCATATTACAACGAACTACCGGATGATGTATGATAAATCTTGCGACAGAGCTGTTATTGAGCGCCATAAAAATTAAATTGATCTCTTAAGGTTATACGAGTATGAGACAAGGGTTGACGGTTCAATATGAAATTCACTACTATCAAGAAGGATGAAACAAACTTTATGGAAAGTGTTCCGTACATAGACGATATTTAATTATCATTTATGAAAACTGAACATTTTAAATATTAAATGAATTCGATAGGATATAGAAATATTAAGCTATCTCCTTATTACATGGGTCTGAATATTATTGAACAGAACAGTTGCTTACATCCTTTTTCCAACTTAGATTCAGGAACTAGGTTATTGAGTTTGAAACCGATGTCATTTTAGCTTAAATTTAACTCAAAATGAACGTCAGTAACTGCTGCAAAATAAAGTAGAAAATAGGACCCCTGTCGCTACTAGCTAGTGTTGGTGCATATCCACTAAAGTTCATGAAATATACAAAAGTTTATTACTTTGAATACTAACCGTTGATCTATTGGGTATCCTACCATCCTTCAACGAAGTGCGTTTTGGAAATTTTACTTCAGACCTAAAAGAAGTAGATAAATGACTAAAAATATACACCAACAAATGATCCGTGTAATTATTCATTACTGTCCCATTGCGGACTGCAAAACAATACTTTTCATGAAGAAAATTCAAACAATGTGGACACTGACACGGTATCTTGTTTGACTTTTTCAACATAGCGCGCAACGTATATGTCAAACATATACGTAAATTAAAATACACGAAGTATTTCAAGATGTACAACATCAGTTGTCTGACCCGCAAGCAAAGTCATAACAATAGTTTACATCCAACGAATCAAACTTATTCATATTTCGTTACTAACGTCAGTGCTGTTTTGCTATCGTTCAAATAACTTTGTGATGAGCGAGTGTGAACCGAATGATTTCGTGGCTTACGATTCGTTTTGTTACTGCATGATCTTATGATTTTATGGCATATAATGTAGGACAGTTTATTAACCTGGCAGTTTGATGGTTATTTTGGGTTTTTTCAGTGTGGGAGCCAATAGGATTTGCACGAAAGTTGGGCTTTTAGACTCTTTTTCATCTCATTTGTTCGTTTGCATTCAGATAAAGATTGCATTCGTCAATCGTGCCTGAAGCAAAAGCAATAGGACGATGCAAATACGAATCAATAAACTCATTTGTTATTCTGTAACTCGAATGCCATAAGTGATTAATGTTCTGTGTGAGTAATCTTGGCGTTTGTTTTTGAGACAAAAACTGTTTGCTTCATCCATGTTGTTTCTTTAGTCTCCTTGATTGGATAATGTTTGTGGAATAGTACTCTGAAGCCGAGTAATGGCCGTCCATGTATCGTTCGGTTTCTAAGAGTAAACTTCAGCATTTGTCCATATGCTTTCCGAAACACTGTAATGTATTAAGCTATTCATAAACTCTTCAGTTTCAGAAACGGGCCACTTACAGAAATAGTGTTTCTTTTTTTTCAAAATCAGAAGGCTTGACATACCATACATAACTGTTGCCTAGGGACTCTGCTCAGCAATCACTTTCTTCGACTAGTTTTAGCTCACGATTGATAATTTCCGAGGCCACGTTTTAAACGTTCGCCGGACGTTTCCTCTTAAAAAAATTAGGTAGTTTTCTCCTGATGATTCTTACCAAGATCTACTCGATTAAGCCCGCCTAGTTAGTTAGTGTACAATTCGGAGAACTCTTCCTCAATCTTGGTTCGTGGACAGGAATGGAAATAGAACTTCTTCAGTTTGGTGCAGATTGGGAGACAATTAGGATTTCAGTTTATCTAGTCCCCTTCATTTTCCTGTATCTAGAAGGTCATGATACTCTCAGTCAATAGTCCAGGTTTTTTTAACAATCCACGATATATTCTTTAATATTACTTCTAAATAAAATCTCTTGTGGAGAAGAGGCTTATGGACAAAGACATTATCTGTGTAGTTTACAAAGTTAAATAAATTTTTCTTGTTTATCTCTAGAGGTATGACGTTTGAAGTTTTGAAGAATATAAGGTACTGAAAAAGTTTTCATTTTGTTTCGTGGACAGTTGCTTACATTTGACATTTTCTCACCCTCCCCCATTTTTAATGGTTGTCTAGTTAATAACCTCAACAATACTAAGATACTTAAAGGACAAATTTCTCTTTGTCTTTTTTTGTTTACTACGGAAATCCAATTTGATTAAGACCGGCTCTAGGACAGATTCGAAATTGGACTTGTTTCCTAGTAACAAGATACCATTACACCTTAAGAAAATTTGATTCGGTCAACTTTTTGACTCCGACTGTTTTCTCCCAAGTAGATTTTATGAACCTAGGACCAGTTGACTCTGATTTGTACAAACCTGATATACGCTAGAGTATACTCTAACTGTGATTACTGGTCTTTATCTGAACACTCTTCCAGTTTGTAGAAGCTAAACTATCTGTTTGAGATTTTCAGTTTTGTATGGATTTCTGTAGCTTTTAAATGAGTAAGTTATCCAAGTGTTTCAGACTGTCTCTTTCTCCTGACTTAACGAAGACTTCTAGAGCATTCTTTTGTTTAAATAATGGACTTTATTCGTTGGCGCAGTAAAAACGAATATCATTACATTTACCTTGTGTCTGTTAATTCACAGGTTACAAGTCTCATCTGTCTCACAACAAAAAATAAAGTCGAAATTTACTAATTTATTTTCCAATGTATTTATAAAAATCACTTAAATTTGTAGTACTAGACAGGTATTTACGATTATTCACTAAATTGCTGTATAAGAAACCCATGAATAGTTGTGTATCGTAATCAGATAATTTTTAGTTCCGTTTATTTTGACACATCTCTACGATCGCTATCGTGTATATTTAACGATACTTTAGTAGTAAGACCTTGTTCAAAAGCTTAAATATTTTCTATTGTGTCGATGTTAGGAGAAATCACATGCCGAGATTTTAGATGCAATTGGACTATTGGTAAACATCAATGTATGCTGTTGCTTGTTTCTAACTGGTTAACATTAGAAAATAGCCTTTAAATCTGTACCATCATAGACTAGTTCCTACACTTTAATTAAGTCGAGAAAATGAGTTCAGTATCAAGGACTTAATAGCTTGAATCTAGTTAACACGATGTATTTAGTCAATCCAGAAAAGATTTAATCATTAAATTAGGTAAAACCACTTATCATTTATCTCAATTCTTTCACATTAAAAAGGAATAAATAAAGAGGACTGAGATAGTAGATGGGAAAAATGATTTTATTCAGAAAAACACACGAGTAATTGTAGTTCTCAAGGAAATTGACGTGCCATGTATATTTTATATAAAACTGAGTCAATCTATCTCAAGATTCTAAAAATGAATAGGTAAACAATAGAATACATTGAAATAAATATTGATGAAGTTATGATCACAAAAATGTGAATAGTTTATGTAAGCTAAATAATCTCAAAAAAAGTATACTACACCCTAGATAATAGTTGACATAATGATTTGATAAATGGACCCAAGTATATGTGTCAGCATATCAGTTGAAGTGGAAAACTAAGCATTTTCTTTAACCAAAAAAATGTCACTTAATTCACCTAATCACCATATTTTGAGCAATTGAATTTTTTTCTGTCAATAATTCACACGAAAGTTGTCTCTGATCAGTTCATAAGTAAAGCAGCTGTTATTTGCTTTTAATACCTAGATATCTTGGGGACATGAATGAATAACCCTAGTATTTATTCACTTGATATTCAATTATATTAAGGATTATACCAACTATTCAATAAAGAATTCAGTTTTAGCATCATTACCTACAAACCCATTTCAGTTAATAAACTGCTGAATCAGAGAGGGGATTTGTGGAGATTGTGGTGATTTGATAATTGAATTTATAAGTCAATTAAGGTCAGATCACCATGGAAAACCCGAAAACACTGGATGGTCGTCTCATCCTATTGTGGGACTCCTCGGCAGTGCGCATCCACGATCTCGCCTAGCGAGATTCGAACCCAGAATTCACTTAGGACAATGGAGGATGGGTAGCTCACTTTCATGGATTAGTTGAAGCTAGACATTAACACCGTTGGATACCGGTTCAGTGATCTAGAGGTTAAACGTTCGTGTGCGAGACCGATAAGTCCTGGGTTCGAATTTCGCGAAATGGATCGTAGATGAGTACTGTTGAGGAGTCCCACAATGGGACGAAACGGACGTCCGGTTCTTTCAGGTTTTCCATGGTGGTCCAGCTCCAACTGACTCATTAATTCAATTATTAAAATGATAAACGATTAATTGTCCTTTATATAGCTTTTTTAAATCTTTGATCTGAAATTATTCGTTGGAGACTGTCAGCGAAATCTAGGATTTGTATTGTTTTATTTTAGATAATTAAATATACTAACCGTTTAGAAATTTGTAGCATTACTAATTAAGTATACACTCAGTGCTTTATGTTCACATGACTTTAACTAGATCAATAAGTTATAATAACTTAATGTAAAATCTAGCTGAACACCTTATATTGGTTTGTCATTAGTATAATCCACACTGGATGGACTTAATATTTAGTTGCTCATCATTGCAAATGGATAAATAGTAGATTTAAATAGATGGTAAAAATAGTCCAGTTTATGACAGCAACTTGATTAGTCAGAACGTATTGTTCACGAAAATTAACGGTTTCCTTATGGTGAAGGTGGAACCTCATAAAACGAACACATAAACAAGATTTTTAATACTTCCTATTAAATATCAACTCCAAAACTCGTAATTACCAAAATATATTTTGCTAAATCATATGACACAGAAATTCCCTGAGTTTTGTTTGGGAACTAGAATAAAAGTATTACCAAAATCATCTCCTACATAATGATTCAGTTGTACTTACCTGAACTAAAAACTTTAACCGACGCAGTTAGTCTGAAAAAAAGAAATAAGTTTCCAGTAAAAGGCCAATTTTTTTTAAGTTCAAAACATTCACGAAGGAATTTTTCTAATATTTTAAGCGGTCTTTAACTGATTAACATAGTTTATCATACTGTTAGACGATATTTTCCGTAATTTTCGTTATCAACAAGAAACACCTACTTTGATGTTTATGAAGAATCACAGACAATTTACTGTTTCCAGTACAATCAAAAAGTTGTCGAAAAACAAGAAATAGAAAAACAGGTGAGACTATAATTTATGGAAGACCACTGAGCGACACTAGTGTGAGAAATTGGAATTATGATTTACAGTTGATGGTTAAGGTTAGAAACCGGATTTCGGTTTTTCATCACGAACTGATATCAGCTATGATACCAAGACTCTGTTTAGTCAAATGGATAAGTGAATTTCTCACCAAAATCCAAGACCTGTTATCTTTTATCTGATTGGTTCGTCCATAAATTATAGTCTCGCCGAAAAGCATTGTTGATATATATTCAAATGGAAGGAAAAAATGCTAACTAATTTCCAGCATTCAATATCATATCCTATACTTCATTACTAATATACCTAATGTGGATTTAAAATTGGCACACTAATTTAATTATGTCTAATGTATGTTCTTTAAATTTAGTATTTTCGATGTAGCTCATTTTGTGTATTTATTGAGCACATCATGTATGTTATCTGCAAACCAATGCAGTAAAATTTTGTTCGTACTGTTTTTAGTAATATCATTGTTTGATGTTAAGGGAACTTATTACATTCTTGATATTTTGATACAAATGTATATACTAGTGACTATCCTCAAAGTGGAATTCCTTGAGCTCTAGTGGGAAGCCATGAACAGTGGAGCCTTTTAATGTTGGATATGAAATAGTTATCCATTACAGGTTGTAAAATATGCTAGCGCAATATCATGAATTTATTGACGTTAGATATACACACTGCTGAATGCTGGTTAAGTAATCTAGGGGTTAGACCTTCAACTGCCAGATCGAAGGCCTCAAGTTTGATTACGTGCGGCACGGTCATGGATACACATTGTTGAGGAATTCTGCATCACGACAAAAAACCTGTCAAGTTGTTGGTCTTCGATGGTATCCGAACTATGGTCAACTCATAATTGAAACTATGAAAATATACGTACCTTTGAGTTGATATAAAACTTTAAATAATATTAATTATTATTACTTACTCCATTAAACTGTCAAATGCTGTAAAGGTAATTTGCTTCCATGTTTCGGTTTGATTTGTACCTGGTATGTCTATCCAATCTATTACAATACTGGATCGACCCATTAATGAAGTAATAATAAGGTTTTTATTGAATACAGCTGCATGTAACACTAGATCATTCTAATAGTTTATTTTTTCCAGGTAAAAATATAAAGTTGTAAAAATGTTTTTTTCAGAATAACTTAACACAAGTTTGTCAATAAGTAAATTAGAATTTCTAATTTCATTAATGAGTTTATTTTTAAGCAGAGATGGCTAGCAGTGGAATCCAGGACGCGCGTTTCGTCCTAGTTGGGACTCGTTAGCTGGATGTACCTGCATCCCAGAGTTGATGTTCACTCCAGGACTTTGCTTATAAAGCTAGTGGCTTCAGGCAATATCGAGGCTATCTGCACAGGATGCACATATGCAAATAATAGACTGATCAATTGCAGTCCCAAACAACAATATGAATATACAAGCAAACAACACCATGTAAATTTATTTTTAAGGAAAGAAAAACTAATAAACTAACTGACATCTTAACTTAATGGATAAACTTCATAGATTGATTGAAATAAATGTAACTTCCAGTTAAAAATATTTGTAAATGAATTATTTTTCAATAACTAGCTGTTAGTGAGTTTTTATTAGCAGTATTTGTAAAAAGGGTTCGATTCTAGAGTTGATATAAGATAAGGAGTTAATTCATAGGATACTGAGGATAATTTCAATGTTGTTACTGTTTTTGTGAAATTCTTGATAACAGTTAAAGTTTACGTGAATGAAAATTTTTTTGCATTTATAAGCAAAGGTGGGTGATGGCTAGCAGTTGAATCCAGTATGCGCGTTTCGTCCTATTTAGGACTCGTCAGTTGGATGTACCTGCATCTCAGATTTGATGTTCATTACGGGACTTGAATTTTGCTTAGACTTCGTAAATAAATTTATTTTCTCATCATCTGAATATAACAGAAATACAGTAAATGCATTTGATCAACTTGAAATTTAGCAATCGGTTTTAAAGTGGTTGATTGGTAGCAGTATTAACCTATTAGATGTTTTAATAAACAGTATAAATATTACAAGCGTGATTGGTCAGTATCAATTATTTAATGGTAAATACAATTGATTGATCACTAGGTGGTGATCAATGTCATGTGTGTCAAGTCCTTCTCAGTGCAGATCGAATGCTATCGACCAAGATGCAATGTGGCCACCAGTCTAGGTGACTCAACATTGTGTGCACTATGTTGAGATAAGGTGGTGGTTGAAGGTAGTCAACAGGAAACCCTGGACCTGGGTTTACAGTCCCGTCAAGATTACAGGTACACTTTGCTGACAAGTGCCAAATAGTACGAAACCCGGGTCCAGGGTTTCCTGTTGACTACCTCCAACCACCATCTGATTTATTAGTAAAGTTTTTTTCATCTTAGTACAGAAAATCACTGACCAATGATTAACTGATACCCTGACCATTAGTAGTAAAATGAATCGCAAAATAATTAGTGTTTCAAAGATGAAAGAATAGCTAATTTTTTTATAACAAGTGAGATAGTCCAAAACATAAGAAACGTATATCCTTGATTTCACTATTAGTCATGAATATTATTTCACATAATATCTGGGCATCAATTCATTAATCTCAAGCACCAGCAAGAAATACCTAAATTTTTTTAGGTAATGAGATCATTTGTCATAGTAATAAAGCCGTTGACTTTTAATATTCATTTATGTCATTTCCATAAATACATAACTCATACCGTTTGTCTAAATATCAAAGATACAATTTAAGCCATCATGATTATTTTTAAAATTCTGATGAAATACATAATTCGGTTAAAAAGATTCAATGGAATTATTCAAGGAATTAAAGGCTTCATTCGATATAGAACTTGTTTGTTATAGTGAATATTTCTTCAAACAGTTCAACGCAGATGATACAAGTAAACTGAAGTTGTTTATTTTACGTTTCAACCTCTATGCTAAATGTGTATAATTCATAGATAATCTCCCACTTTATAAACAGTATTGAAAATAGTTATTTTTACTTCCTTTCTTTTGAGATAAACAATAATTCAGTAAATTGATCTATTAAATTCATGCTGACTTAAATGATTCTTTATTAAGTGGTGATTTGTAAGCTGATAGTTTACAGCGAAATAATTTCAAGTGACGAGGATTCATAAATAGTTAACAAAACCTTATTCAATAAACATCAGTTGCCTGTATGAGAAATATATCAAAGTTTATACATTTGCATTAGGTTTAAACGATATATATACGTATACATATAAGAATTAATTGAATCACTTACGGTCCAATTTGACACGGTAAAAACAAGTGGATTAGTTATATTTTCATCCAGTTTTTCATGAAAAGTGATCAACTTTTTATGTTCGTATTCTGAACCTGATCCACCAAATTCATACTTTTGTAAACAATGTCTTCAATTAGATTTAAATAACATAATAAATGAAAGCATATAAATTTATAAATAGTATGACAAACTATCAAATGTGTAAATTATATTTAAAGTTTTCAAAGATTTATGTCATCATATGTTAAAGTTTGCAATTGTCTGTTGTTGATGCAAGATCCTAGACAAATAAATCTATTTTCAATAGTTAAAATCATGAGTCAATTGAAGCTAGAACATCATGGAAAACCTGGGAGCACTGGACGGCCGTTTCGTCCTAGTATGGGACACCTCAGCAGTGCGCATCCACGAGCCCGCCCTCCGTTGGGTGCCGGCTCAGTGGTCTAAAAATTAAGCGCCTGGCGCGAGACTGATGGGTCCTGGGTTCGAATCTCGCGGGGGGCGGGATCGTGGATTCGCACTGCTGAGGAGTCCCATACTGGGACGAACTGGCCGTCCAGTGCTTCCAGATTTTTCATGGTGTTCTAGCTTCAACTAACTTATGATTTCAACTATTGCAATTACTAAAATCTCCACAAAACCCCTTCTGATAAAATCTATTTTCGTTAAACAAGTTAATGACTGGTTAGACTCAGTGAATTATTGAATTATGTGAAAGCGTCTTGTGACGTTGATAACGGGTTTGAATTTAAGTGCAAATATTGATACAGAAATTTAGATTTATTCAAATGATAAATCGTAAATATGATGGATTGAGTGTTCTATATTCCACTGTTAACCGCAATCCTCCATTACCACATATTTTATTTAGTCATTTCTGATAGACACTACATTACTGTAAAATATCCATTACAAGGGTTCATTCATGTATAAAGTGGTTGTAGGAAACCCTGGACCTAGGTTTAGTGATATTTGACACTCATCAGTTACGTATACCTGTAATCTACAGAAAACTGATCCTATCTCTCTACAGGAGTCAGTTACTTATTGAATAGTTCAGTGGTTAAGTCTCTGACTGTGAAACAGGGTGAGACGGGATGGAATCTATCGAGTAGTATCAATTACCACAAGAATACAGTACATTTCAGTGACGAAACCTGTATCCAGCATTTCCTGTAAACTACCACAGATCACTTTATACCGCAATATAGCACACGCGATATCGCGTCACTCAAACTAGTGTTCACATTGCAACTTCGTCGATAGAATTTAATTAAGAATAAGAAGGACTTCAAAATATGACAGTGGTTACTACTTAATGATCAATTACTTGTGAACTACAACAGTTCACGATATTCTTGATCACTTGCTTTAGCCAGAGTATGGAATAGTTCTTGAAAAAATCATTGATTCCTTTCAAAAATACTTTCCCGTTTATGAATATTCAGTAAATTTTGAGTAAGATCAAATGGAAATACACTTTATGACCTGTGCTCGAGTCCCACTATGATAAACGTTTACACTATGATAAATCAAACATATTGAATAGATTATTTCTGTGAATATTATTATTATTATTATAGTCGATAGTAATAATGGTAGTTCTCATATAATTTTAGAATTCAAAGCGAGAAACTTTTGGTGAAGTTCGAGAGTATATTCTAAACTATGGTAATCAGTGAATTGCGACCTTTCTATTAGTAACAAAAAAAACAAGTATAACTGGTCACTTAACATCTACTAACCTTGAAAATCTATCGTCACAAATAAACTATCACTGTAGATAATCATTAGTAATGATTAAATGTTTACTGATTGAAACCACAAAAATAAACATATGGTTACCTATCAGTTACTTTCTGAATATTTACAGTTTATGTTTAAAACAGCATAATGCTGATTTTTTAACGAAACATCTTTCAAACATCAGAATTTCGTTTATTAGTTTATCTTGATCCTGATTTAATTAGTATCAGAAGAGGTTTTTGTGAATATTATAGTGATTTCAGTAGGTCAGATCATGAGCCAATTGAAGCAAGACCACCAAGAAAAACCTGGAAACACTGGACGAGCATTTCATCTTATTGTGCGGCTCTTCAACAGTGCGTAAACATGATCCCGCCTTTCGAGATTCCAACCCAGGATCTGCCGGTCTCGCACGCGAACGGTTAATCTCTAGACTACTGAGCCGGCATCCAACGGTGTTAATGTCTGACTTCAGCGAATCCATGAAGTTGAGCGACACATTCGCCATTGTCTTCAGTGAGTGACTGCCTCTACAACAGACACGGTTGAACTCCACTGGCCATGGTTTCTCACTAGAACTCCAGGAAATACCTCTTGAAGCCAGTCAATAATGAACATATGTTAATTAATATCAGAAGAGGTTTTGGTGGATATTACGTTAATTTTAACAGTTGAGACCATGGGTTATAACCAAAGGTCTACAATCAACTCAATTCTAAACACTATTTATAAATGCACCAAAAAAAAAATCATATTTCAGAATCTTAACAGGGAAAATATTTTACAATGTATAAATATCATTTAAGTATACCATGTTATTCTATTGTGAATACTTCTTTAAAATTTACCTCAAAGATATTTTTGTTAGACAGATAACAAAGAGAGGTGAACAGTAATTATATGGATCTTGTTCATTACACCATCTATGATAAACTGTAGTTCTTGATGGATAATAAAATGATTGAAGTTGTGTAAGTATTGTCACATTAGTAGATTTAACACAATAGATTATTCCACATAGTATTAATAACACTGTGAAATATAATTGTTTCATGGTCATTTAATTATATTCTATACAATAACTAAAAATATAATAATAATAAACAAATTAGGATTCCAATAATTATTTTTTTTCTCAAAATGATCTTAAAACTTATTTTATTTTGTTTCATTTTTGTATGGGTTGTTTGAATCTTCCCGTTAGGACTGAAATTGATCAGTCTTATAATGGCATATATGCATCTTGTGAGGATTGCCTCGATATTGTCCTAAGTTATAAGCATTGTAAACAAAGATGTATGGTGATTAGCAGTGGAATCTAGGACGAGCGTTTCGTCCTATTTTGGGACCCGTCAGCCGAGTGTACCCGCATTCCAGAGTTGATATTCATTCTGAGACTCTAACCCAGTACCGTTCACTTCAAACGCTATTGAGAAATCCACTTAGCTACTAAGTCCAGATAACCAATAGCTTATGCAATAGGATGAAGTTTTAATTCTTTTTGTATTGGTTATTTGAATGTTCTCATTGATGTACAGGACTGCAATCGATCACTCAACAGTGGGATAGAAGTAAATCCAACTGACGAGTCTTAAATAGAACAAAACACGTATCTTGTATTGCACTACCACCACCACCGCCACTAACTACCATCCATCTTTGCTTAATTCATTTTGCTTAAGCTCGACAGATAGAGCACTCTAATCAGTAAAGAGAACTATTATTTAAATCTATAATTCAATGAGAATAAATTATGATATAAAACATTCTATCGTTTTTATTACTTACCTTTTTCAAAACAAAATTAAAACACCTTTAAAAACGTCATTCGAATATATAGTAACCATTTCTGTACTTTAAACTCATTAAAGTTCTATTATAATTATGTTTACAAAACATGGAACCATAATTAGGTTTTGTCAAGAACTCTTGAATAAAGAAGGGTTTTAAAACAAAGTTCATTATTTAAAATGGTAAGATAAAAATATTTCTGATGTTTGATTTGTGATTCCAGGTTTTCTATGGTGGTCTAACTTCAATTAACTCATCAATTCAATCATTATCAGTTAGCTGCAACGTAGGACCAGGCACGTATATGCATCGGTCCAAGTTGCCATACCGCATTAGCACAACAAGATGAACACCGGATTCATAGGAGTAGTTAATTCAGTGGTGGTAATATATAAAAGAAAAAGTGTGTATAAGGAGATAGTAAAGGAAGAAAGAATTAGTTCCTAGACAGATATGAAGCGATTTTAATCTCTTAATTTAAGGAAGACAGAGAGTGTATACACCGACGCCATTGTGATCGATTCTGAGCCATGTCACCAAGAGTCTCCAACCATTGGTTACGATAGTCACGCGGACCCCAACCAGGTAGTCTGCATCTTCCAACATGGCTCAGACCAGAAGTTAGTGACTTCAAGCACTGATGCCACGTTTTGGTTTGGCCGCCCCTAACTTTCTTCCAATTATCCCCTACACTAGTCAGCATTGCGCGTCGTGGTAATCGGTGTTCAGGCATACGCAGAACGTGGCCTAACCATCTCAGTCGATGAAGATCCATAACCTCATCAACTGATTTACCATCATTCCCTAATACCCTGCGTCTAACCTCACTATTACTTACCCGGTGATCCCAGCAGATACCCGCAATATTTCTAAGGCACCTGTGGTCAAATACTAGTAACTTACGAATATCTTCTACTCTCAAAGGCCATGTTTCGCAGCCGTATAGTAGAACGGAACGAACTGCAGCGCAGTATACTCATCCCTTAATTGATAGACGGATATCTCGCCTTCGCCATAGATGACGTAAGTTGGCAAAGGCTAAACGAGCTTTTCGAATCCTTGCTGAGATTTCGTCAGACACCAACCCATTAGGGCTGATCAGACTTCCAAAATAAGTGAAGTTGTCAACGCGTTCGACTACTTCACCCCCTATCCTTAGTTCAGGTGTTGACGCATTATAAGATTTATTTACCATATATACTACGTTAATCTGTGAATAAAATCAGTAAGGACTAACCTTAGTCTCAAAGAATTACTTATGAAATGTACAATGAATGTCCATATTGTCATTAATAGAACATATTATAAACAAATTGACGGTATAGTGATGAGTTCACCTCTAGGTCTTATCCTTACTGATCTTTTTCATGCGAAATTAGGGAACGAATCTCTCAAAGTGGAAATCTGTGAATAGACAAACATTAATTCTATGTATTTTATTTTAATTCATAAAATGAATAGGAAATTTTAAATATTACGTTTAATCATAGATGGTGCGAATGGTCCATCAGGGTGCTTCGTACCTGTGTGATTGCGCCACAGGATTGAGCTGTACTATTCAGATTATAGCGTTAAAGCCTATAAGATGTATGGTTCTCCTGTGAAGCAGGATTGAGCTGTACTGCTTGGGTTATAAAATTTAAACCTGGAAAGTGTATGGCTCTCCTGTTAAACGGGATTAAGCTGTACTGTTTAGGATGTCACTTGAAAGTCTGGATGGTGTTTGGTTCTCCTGAAAACCAATGTAAAAATTACCCTGGCCCACAAGGGTATATTGTATAACTGTGTATGACTTAATCGTAGATGACCGATAATAAAATCTGTTTCTTTGATTTACACAACACATTAAAACATTGTACATCACTAGTTTTTATATAGTAAACTTTGATAGAGACCAAACAACTGCAGTTTTTTAACATTTACGTCCAAAAAAACGTAAATAATTTACCAATCTAACTGTATTTCACTAGTTTTAGTCAATCTTTTTTGTGATTATATTGAACAATTCTGAACATTGAACCATATTTAAAACTGGTAACTAAACGGCTTAACGTTAACTGTCTTTTTTTTTAAAATATAAACAGTGATACTTATTAGTTAAGTACACGTGAAAACATTTTGTCAGTATAAAAAGATCGAAAATTTCAATAGGATGATTTTGTTGCCAGGGGTTTGACATTTCCTCACATATTCAGATATTGATAAATCGTCAAATTATAAAGGAGTTCACCTGATTAGTACTTGTTCATTATTTAATCAACAACTTTCTGTATGAATGAAAATTCACAAACATTTTAAGATTAAACTAATTTAAATAGTTGAAATTATGAGTCAATTGAAACTAGACCACAATGGAAAACCTAGAAGCACTGGACCTATGAGATTAGTATCGTTTAACTACATCACCAGTGGATAAATCTTTTCTATGAACTTTACTATAAATAAAGTAAATCAATGTTTTATTTAGATTGAAATGGATACTAAGATAAGATTTAACTCTAGGAACTTTGATATTGTTGAACTCTAGGGTTAAATTGAGTTTCATTTGGGAAAATATGAATTTTATTGACTAGTAATGCATCAAATTAATATTTTTATCAGAAGTGGGTTTTGTGAAGAATTTAGTAATTTAGTAGTTGAATTCACGAGTCAATTAAAGCTAGACCACCATAAAAAGCCTGGACGGCCGTTTCGTCCTAGTATGGGAATGCTCAGCAGTGCACATCTACAATCCCCCTCTTGGGACTTGGACCAAGGACCTGTCGGTCAACTCACTGGTGTACAGGTTAAGCGTTCGAGCATGAGACTACGAAACCACCATCCAGTGCTTCCAGATTTTTCATGGTTATCTAACTTCAAATGACAAATGAATTGAACTATTAAATTAGTCTTTCACAAACAAAATCATCTGTATTAATACTCCTCTTCGTATTATGACATTTAAACTTCACCACTCAGATAACTAGACAAAATATCTTTGTTCTCTTGTTTGGTCATATTTCAACATGATTGATAATATTGACATCAGAAATATGTACAGTCACTTAAAAGAGTTTCACAAATAAATGAGCGAAATATTTATTGATAAAAACAGTTCTCATCTCTCCTATTGTGTTTGTTTCTAACATCAAAATGTAGTATTCACATATCATCTATTTAGTCATAATAGTGTGTACATGACGTTTCTGATTTCGAGTCCTGTATACAAAATCGTGAGTGTACACTACTGAAAAGTCCCATACTATGAAGAAACAATCATACATCGATTCATCAATTCAACTGTTGAAATTACTACAATCTTCATAAATCCCCTTACATATATAAATGTAATTTATCAATCAATATGGATATAAATGGACGTTTTAACTAACATGTAGTCATTTTTGTATGGATAGGAAAAAGTGTTACCAACATATATAAAATATTATAAATAAATATCATTTATTATTATTAATGGTACTTAGGTAAAATTAAGTTACACCTCTAAACAAAATGTTTTACATTACATTTGATTATAACAATTTCATTGTTATGTAATATCTATGGTTACTAATAGAACATTAATGACTTCTATAGATTTTCGATGTATTAAAACATTGAAATATTAATACATTTCAATTATCAATAATAAATAATAATAATAATAAAAAGGTAATACATCTGTCATATAAACTCTCAGTTAACAATTAATAAAATAAACTAATTTAATAACAAGAAATTGAACTAATCAAATATATATATATATAATATTCTGTAGTCAATAATTACCTGTCATCGGTTATTGATTTTGGAACTTTTAATAAATTGAATATTTTTACTAATTGTTTGTCAATTATTGATTGAAATTATAAGAAATTATTTTATATAAAGGAAGTTATCTGGTAGAAATTATATTCATATTAAAATGGGTTTCACAACTAATGAACCAAGATATAATGTATTTGCTCGTGATCTACTGGACATATCAGCAACTGGCAAGTTTTAGTTATTTATTACAATACTGTTATACAATATGATTATTTTACAATAACGTATCATGTATTATAAAATTCATTATGTGGTCTAGCTTCAATTGACTCATGATCTAAACTATTGAAATTACTAAAATATCTAAAAAACCCTTCTGATATAAATTAGCATATGCACACTAGTGACTGGCTTCAAGAATTATTTCCTGGAGTTCTAATGAGAAGCAATGGAGTTCAACTAGGTCTGTTGTGAGATAGTAACTTACTGAAGACAATGGTGGATGTGTCGTTCAAT